TAGAGTCGCCACTTGGGATAGGTTTGGCTTTTGGTGTCCCAAGTCACCGATTTAACTTGAATCCCAAATCGAGGAAAATTTATCGACTTCCCATTTGGAGTCTGCGAACCAGAAATTCTGAATAAGGAATTCTGTTGACCCGAGGGAAGGTGTTAGGCACCCCCGGATCCCGTGGTTCTAGCACGGTCGCTTAAATTATTATAAATGGCTAAAAAAAATCTAATTTTTATACATACTCCAACCTATAGTGCAATTTTATAATTATTTATCGCTTTTAGTTAAAATATTTTAAGAAAGTGAACGTCGTTTAAAAACGTATCTTCGGATCACGTCACATGAAATGCACTCGGATCCTCGGCACATTCTTATTCAACGTTTTGGGATTTGGATTTGGGTTGCATGAAATGCACACCCGTATTTAAGAAGGTAAAATTATTAAAAACGTGCCTAAAGCGACTAACGGGTTATTAACTTTGCGGGAGGCCGCGAAATTCACTAAACGGCATGCCCGGATTCTAAGTATTTTGATATAAGCATTTAATGAGGGCCCCGCAATTTGTGTGTTTTGTTTGGCGAGGCTCATCTCACTTTATTATTTAAAGGCCAAACTAAAGTGACCTATGATTTTCTATTTTTGTATCTAATAATAAGGAAATAGTCCTAATTAATTAATGTCATAACATCTGGGCCCCAAGTTCAAGTCCGGGTTCAAACAAAAGGAATAGACCTCTTAATTTGAACCTGCTACTTAACTCGAGAACCTGATGTTACAAACTAGACTTAATGAACCTAAGGGAATTATAGCCTCCGGCACATTTGGGCTTCAAGACTGATTCAACCAAGTCCATGAAGAACAACCCAATAAGAGGTCCAAATTTTGATTGCAGACGGGTCAAGTGGCCTGGGCCTGTGATAAGCCCAATAGCGGATACCAGTTTCATTTTTGGACTGGCTAACATCTTAACGGGCTGTTACATATATGTATTTAAATCAAAGACCAAATCAACCAAATGTTGGGTTAATCTAAGAAGTAATTGACTTTGAAATTGATTTTTTGTTAACATTGATTCGAGGCACAATCAGTTAGGCTAGCGGTCCAACGTATCAGTCCATATTGTTCCAATTTAATCCTCAGATTCATATGACACTATATTTGACTCTCTGTTAACTGCTCCTAACAATCAGATGTCCAATTATTGATTACAAAAGGGAAATATACGATTTCAAGGGCACTTCTACGTACAGAACATTTCTAATCAAAACTAACACAATGAATATCAGATATTTACACATCAATGAATATCTAACTATGGACATGCGATAACAGGGATTTAAACATCCAATGTCAGCTTAATTAACTGTGCTTAAACACACATTGAAGTCCAACACAACCCTAGATAATCGAACTAGTACTGAAAATCCATTAATAATCTATTAACAATCCATTGGCAATCCATATTCTCATTAATACAATTGAAATTATGGTTCAAATGAATCAGTCACACGAAAAGTCTAAACTAAGCAATAACAGTAAAGTTCAGGTGCAAGCATGTATTCCTTTATCATTTATACTTCATACTTGTGGTCTACAGGTGAAGGCAATCTTCAGCATCACTTGAGCATGAGAAAATACCTGGATTACAATGACATAAAGGAGAAGAGGAGGGTCAGCAGCAATTTGTTGAACTAAAGGCAAACATCATGTCACAACAGCTCACAATCAGCCTCAAACCCAGGTTCAAAATGCAAACGAAATCCAGGTATTTTCTAACCAAACCCAAACCCCTTTGTCCTAGTTAGAATTCAATTATAGTTAACTAAGGAGTGATTCATTCAGCTATATCCAATCACCAAAACTAAAATTTAACTCTAATTAATATGTAACATTGAACTAATAAGCAGTAAACTGTTAAGAACCTAGTAAAATATCATATAATAACACTCAACAAACCTATGATTAACTTACATCAATAAGCAAACTACAGCACTAATTCATCAATATGTCAACCAAGCATGAATTCAACAAGTAACGATTAAACACTAATTCATGAATTTAGACTACTATCAGTAAGAACAGAGGAGGAATCAAAAACAAAAATTTAAACGACAAAACCACAAGTACTGATTACTGCCAAAAAGAGTATAAGGAAAAGATGAACAAATTAACAGAAACAAATGAAAATTATATTCAAACTAACTAAAGAAATAGGAGAAACTCACCTATGCAAGGCTGGAATGGAGATTGAAAAATCGATTCGAGCCCCGGAATAATGTTAATCGTTTGTTCTACTCAAAGAACAAACGAAAACGTTATTTCATGACTCGAATCCAATACCAGACTCGAAAAATCAGGCAAAATCGAGCAAAAATGAACTCCTAGGATTCAACCTTCTTTATGATTCGAGATTCGAGCAGTTCCGGTGATGTTTGAAGGAAACCAATGAGGGATTCAAGAAGAGGGGAACCAGGAGAGTATAGGGTGTATTTTTGGGGTCATTTGGTGAACTAGGGTTTTTTCACCGGAATTTCGATTTGAAATTCGAAGCTTTCGGTGAGGATTTGAGGGAATTTAAAGTTAGATATGGAAAGGGGAGGAGGAGAGGAATCAACGGTGTAATTTTAGGGTGATTTGGAGCATCGCCACCGGCGGAGGCGATTTCCGGCCGGCGGCGGACGGTGGAGGACGGCGGAGACACGGCGGGGTTACGATGGCGTTACGCCGGCGTTATAGGGAGGGGGGTGTACGAGGATGGAGGGTAATGGTCTAGGGTTAATGAGAAATTTTCAGACATTTTTATGTCACATTGAGATCCATCAGAGGCCGTTGGATTGAAAATAATAGACGGCTTGGATTGACTGGCTATAAACGACGCCGTTCTAGGCGTCCCCGGACCGGATCAGGGGTTGGGTTGGGCTGCCTTAGCCGGATTTGAGGGGTTGATTGGGCTAGAATTGGATTTGGCTCAATACAAACTGGCCTGATTCTTTTATTAATTCACTCTTTTCATTTGTTTTCCTTTTTATTTATTTGTTTATGTATTTCTTGCAAAAAAAATAAAAAATAAAAAAATAACAAAACCTACTTTAACTCCCAAATTTAGACTAAGTAATTTTCTAAGAATAAACTAAATCCTAATTAACAAGGAAACTAAACAAAAAATGTAAAAGATTTATTTTTTGTTATTTTTCTCTTATTTTAGTAATATTAATTAACTAGCAAAACTAAAAATGTAAAATTGAATTCTAAATGCAAATGCACTATTTTTGTACCTTTTTTTTTATGAATTATGGCAACTAAAAATGCACACAAAATGCAAACAAGACACAAAATCATGCAATTAATTCCTAGAAATTCAAATAATAAAGAAAAATCCTAATTCTAAGGAATTTTATAGGAGTAGTTTAAGCGTGGCGAAAATCACGTTCTCACAACAGTTGGTGTAGCTATTCGTTGAAGGCTACTTTCTTCACTATCTACATAATGGTTGATGGTTGGGCTGGAATTGCTGCAGAGATTCTTAGATTGGTTCCATTAGTTATGTTTCATCTTAATAATACGTTTCTAGTAAAGACAGATTAGGATAGAGAGCTGGCTACAGATTCTGGTTCGTTGAATTTCTCTGTATCAGAACCTCGCATACAACTGTACTTCCTACTAGGCCTTGTGTACTCAGTAGTCACAGCCCTACTCCTGCCGTTCATCATCGTTTTCAACTCAAGATATATCCATCAGTTGAGATTTGAGGGATTAGATTCTCTAAATCCCTAAATATAAGTTCAATCCGGATAGGAGGGGAGAGAGGAAGGGAGAGAGGAGAGAAAGAATGAAGCCACAAATTATGGATCGGGAGCCTTTTAAGGTGGATTGTATATATTTTGTAAACAAAACTTGTTTATGCCAGGTAATTAGCTAAACATGGACATTAAGGGTAATAAAGTTTCAAATAGTGTATAGGTATGAAAAAATCCTTCTTTTTCTTACTATTGAATATGGTAAATTCATAATTTGAAGCTACACATTAATTGAAAGAATAATATACTGTCAGACCTCTCTATAGCATCATCCTCATATAACAGTACTTTACTATAAAAGCTAAAAAAAATCGGAACTAAATTTCATGTTCTATTATAATATATATTTTTTTATAAAAGCAATTCGCTATAACATACAAAAATATTTGAAACAAGCGAAACTGTTATAGAGAGGTTTGACTGTTTAAAATTTTAAATTGTTCAAATATGGAGCATATCATGTACACTGTATATATGACGGAGAACAAATCGAATTGGGTTAAAATTTCAGAATTAAAGTGAGCCCCTTGTAGTTTGACTAGTAAAGTCATTAGTAGTTATTATCTTAAAGAGTTACAAACTAACCAGTTTCATTTATCTTTTTGTAGGTTAGCATAACTTATAGGTTGTTTGGCCATGTTTTTTTTAGCCAATAGTTTTTTTTTTTTTAAAAATTAAAGTGTTTGGTCAAATTTTTAGAAGAAGAAAAAAGTGTTTTGAGTAGAATTAGAAGTAGTTTTTGAGATTCAGAAAAAGTAGTTTCTTTGAAAAATACTTTTGAGAAAAATATATTTAGAAGCACTTTTTTAAAAGCTTAGTCAAACATTAATTGTTGATCAAAATTATTTTTCAAATTTATTAACCAAATACAAACTGCTACTACTTTTTATTTTTCAAAATAAGCTGATTTTAAAAGCGTAGCCAAACATGCTGTTAGATAGAGAATACCAATTAACAGGATATACTTGTCATGTTCTGAAGGTTTAGACCTTTTTTTTTAGAATAAAATATTTTATTTAATTTAAAAGCAGGTTACATAGTTCCAGTAGCATTATCTGCTGCATTACAAAGAGCCTCGAGGACATTCACATTCCCCATTTCGGCTAAACTAAGACAAGTAGTGAGTTTAGTTTCTTAGTCAAATACACACAACCATACTTATCCATTGCTATATTATTTAATACTAAGGGCAATGGATTAACAAAAACCTATTTCTTCCTTTCATGCTTGAGCCCATCCTTTGCCATTTTATGAGCTACCTTGTTTCCATCCCTGAAGCTATGGATGATTTTCGGGTGCCTCAGCTGGTGCATTAACCACATGCAGTCAGAAATAATTGATGTATAAGACAATTTGTTCAAAAAAACTGCATGGATGAGGTCCGTTGCATCTGTTTCCACTATCAATGGTGAGAGTCCATGATGAACGACTGTCAAGAGCCCAAGTCGTAGTGCTTCCAGTTCAGATTGGAGTGGTGAGGTAGACGGTTTTGAATCCTGGAAACCTAGTATCCAATCTCCTCTATGGTTTCTGAAGACCCCTCCTAATCCACCCATGTTCAACGTTCTTTTGAAAGCGCCGTCAATGTTCAACTTAAAATAATTATGGGGTGGTTTGGCCCAAGCAATCTTTATAGCTATGGAATGAGTTGAAGCAGCTTCCTTAGATGTTAGATGGAAGTATTCTAGGGCTAGGGAGATAGCATGGGAGTGACTGTAATTTAGAGAAAGATTGTTATGGTTGTTATTGTTTCTCTTTGACCAAATGGACCAAATAACGAAGGGCAACAAAAAATCCCAGGGAGGAATATTTGTTGAAGTAATAGTCTTTATGTTCCTAGTTAATTTGATCCAATCTCTAGAGTTCCTAATTTGTGAATAATTAATACCAAGTGAAGACCAGAAAGGTTTAACGGAGTCACATTTCAAGAAAATGTGCTCAATAGTTTCTTCTCCCTTTTTACAAGTGGGGCATATGGGATCAATATTAATACCAATATGACTAAGATATTGCCGGGTGGGGAGCCTATCGTGAATGCATTTCCATAAGAGGAATTTAATTTTGTTCGGACAGTTTGAACTCCAAACCCAATCAAATGAGTGAGTATTATTATGTCCATTATTAAAGAGACTGTAGCACGATTTAGTAGAGAAATTGCCATTAGAATTCAATTTCCAGTAGTAGGTATCATGGTTTAAGTTATTAGTCTCAAGTGAATAGATGGCATTTTTAGTATGGTAAGGTAATTCGAAAGGTATTTTTGAGAGATCCCACTTGTTATTAAGCCAAAGATCCTTAATACTAAGGTTTGTAGTAGTTAAAGGTATAGGTCCCTCAATGATATTTCTAAGGGTGTTCGCCTTAGGAATCCAGTTCGAATCCCAAATATTCATGGACGAATTTTTGTGAGGGATCCAATTCAACCCTTTGTTACACAACTCCCAACCTTTGATAATACTCTTCCAGATGAATGAGGTATGTTTTATGTTTTTTGAAGAGCCATAGAGGGATGCTAAGGTCTGAGACCAAGGAAGAAGAGGATTTTGAAGGATTCTCCATGTAAGGCTTGCTAGTGCCACTAGATTTTTTTCTTTTGCCGCATGGATTCCAATACCCCCATTAGTTTTGTCCTTGGTTACAGTATCCCAAGATATAAGATGAATCTTTTTACAGGTGGTCGATGAGCCCCAAATAAATCTTCTTTGGATTTTGTCAATGCTATTGAGAATCTTAATAGGAAGGAAGTTATATTGCATAACATGGTTTGGAATACTATTAAGAGAAGAATTTGCTAAAGTAGTTCTTCCAGCCATATTAAGGAATTTGGATTTCCAAGAAGACAATTTAGAGTTCATTTTATCGATGATGAATTGGTAGTCGGAGGGTCTAGGTTTTGTGTTTGTTATAGAAAAGCCTAGGTATTTGCCAAACGATGTACTACAATTTATATTAAAAACTTTGGAAAGATCTTTTTTGGTGTTTATAGGGCAATTTTTTGAAGTGATGATTTTTGACTTATCCTTATTGATTTTTTGACCAGAAANCATTGTTTCCTGTCTGCTGTTCAAGTTCGTTGTTGATTGATTGTGCCATTCTATGAGTTGGTAATTTGAATGTAAGATGGACTCTTTTGCAAAGAACCAGTGTATTGTGATGCGTCAAGAAAGGGTATCAAAGAGCTCACTAATATCCTTAGCCCACGGTGGCGCCAAACTGTTACCCTGGAATCCGGATAACAATTGAATTTATATGGGGTTTTAAGGATCCGTGAACTAAAAGATACAAAAGGTTTGGATTGAGGAAAATAAAAGATAAAGACTCAACAATTGCTGTTAAAGTAAATAATCGCAGAATATAATATTGCTTAGAACAATTGTGCTTGATAGCGTACAAGAATTGAGAGAGATGGTACTGTAGTGTAATGGTTTCCGATCCCCTCTTTATGGGATCCTCTCCCCTTTTATACATTCTGATTAAGGGTAAAAATAAGGTAGGTAAATTAATTACATCGTGGATCCCTGTAATTACGCCTTAATGGCCTGAAGTGGTTGAGAAAATCACGTTTGGGCGAGATATCCGGCGACGCTTGGTTATCCGTTACGAGTCCGGCTTCCGACCTTGTGTGTTTCTCCATCCGGTGGTGACTCATATCGAGCTCTGCAACGGTCTCGAAATGACTCGACCTCGGTTGTTGACGTGGCCGTCATTCTACCTTGCATCCAGGTCGGGTTCGATGGCCCCGACTTGCCCCGGACCGGACCCAACCCGGTCGGGCTCAAGCAAAAAAGGGTATCACCCAATACAATTATATTTCTTGTTTAAAAAGAATTTATCTTTAAAATGCCCACTTTACCTTAATAAATTGATTTACTGCCATACAAATATTTATGGTTTATTTTATATCAAAAACTTCAAAAATCTTCTTTTTCTTTCTTAAATTAAGTGCGGAGTCAAACATACCACATAACATATAATTGGGAAGGAGGGAGTAAAAAAACAAGAGAACCTCAAATCAGTCATGTGCATTGTGCCTCCCTCCATGCTCAAAAAATTACAGTGAATCTTTAGCAAGTGTACCAATGTGCACATAATGTTGCAGATAAAATTAGCCAGAGCGAATCTTTCCTTTATTCACCACCCATACAAAATTATGCTTAATTAGTCTTCACCAACAGTACATAATATCTAGGACACACTCCATTATACACTATTGTATTATTAGGACACTATTGTATTAGAGTATACTGTTATGAGCAGCTATATAGACTCTCATTGATCATTCTTACTACCGAGGATACTGACTGCAGCATAGTAAATCTTTAGCCGGAAGAATGGATTCTTAATTCTATATTAATATAGAAGTGAAGAAAATATGAGAGACAGAGAGCAAGACAATGAGAGAGCGATTGATTTTTTTTCCCCATCTTTATTTTGAAAATATAAATCCAAAAGAAAAAGAGAGAAATACACATTTTTTTGCCCTAAAATTCTAATCTTTTTGTACAAAGAAACACTATTCAACAAAACAAAAATTGATTATGAGACATTCCAAAACTCACCTTTACCCTCCCATAATTCATCAAAATCAACACTTTCAAAATTCACATCTTTTAATCAAAGACTTAATCTTTTGCCTTGCAAGACCTTAACCAAGCTATTAGCATGCCTTCTCACCTTCTCATTATCATCTTCCAATAACCCAACACAAATCTCAAACATCCCTTCTCTTACAGCCACCACACACATCCTTTCACTGTAACTACACAACAAATTTACAGTCAACAGAGCATACTGCACAGCTCTTGAAGATCCATTTTTCAAGAATTTAATCAATACATCAATTAACCCACCAAATTTCATCATTTCTTGACGGCCTTCTTTACATTTTGCTAATAACCCCAGTACCTCAACGGCTCTTTCTAGGCCTGAATTAGCATTCTGAATAAGTATCGGCACGGCCCGATTCTCCACAGCCCGAGCCCGATTATCTGGAAATGAACATAACGTATACAGAGCCGTAGCAGCTTCTTTTCTCTCTCTAACATTTCCACCCCAAAGAAGTGAAATTAATCCAAGAATCGCATCTGGGTACGCCCCAATTGTCGCTTTATTCACTTCCACCACCGCTAAACTCGTCAGAACCGTGGCGGCCACGGCCCTGGAATCGCCGGCGCCGCTCCGTAACGCTGCCACCACTCTCCCCACCACCCCTTCAGCCACCAACCCCACTTTGTTATCATCATCCAAGCTCAAATTCAACAGTAAATGAAGCGCCTTTTCTTGTAACCCACCGGCCGAGTCATCATCCGAGTTGACACAGTTAAGAACAGCAGAAACGGCGCCTGACTCAGTGAGTTTTCGACGAATCGCAGAGTCACGCTTGGAGAGCTTACTGAGTTGGTCGAGCGTGTTGAGCTTAGAATCTAAAGGGGAAGAAGAGGAAGCTATGAGGGTTTGAATAAGGGATTGTGGGTCAGGGTAAGATAGTGGATTCGGGAAAGAGACGAGGGTATAATTGGAAATGAGACTGCGGAGGGCGTGATTAGGGATAAGAAAAACCGGGTCGGAAATGGGGAGTTTGGTGATCGGGCAAGTACGGTGACCGGAGTCAAGCCAACGTTGGATTGAGGAACGGTCGAAGGTGTGACCCGAAGATAGTATAACCGGGTCGGACATAATCTCGAGCGAAATCGGGCACCGAAAGTCGTCGGGAAACTGGGTTGAAGTTGCCATTTCCTATTTTTGTTTTGTTTTTTTCTCTCTGGGGACTGGGGTTTCTGTTTTATCTCTCTAGATTCTCTCTTTCTCTTTCTATATATGTGTATCTATCTATAGATATAGAAGGTGTGTGTGTGTTTGGGGCCGGGGGGGGTAGGGGGGGGGGGTTATGAGGTTTAGGTCTAAGGAAAGGGGTTACACTTGTGAGGTGCAAATATGAGGTGGAGGATCTCAGCTTGTGACACTGTGCATCTGTATGTAAAATGACTTTTCCCCCCTTTTTGGAAATGAATTTTCTTTCATTTTTTGCTCCTTTTTGCTTTTCTAACTAATAATGGTTGTTTGTTTCAAAATTTGCATTGAGTTTTGGTCAAAACTGTTCGGTTACTTTATAAAATAAAATAAAAACTTTTTTTTTTTTTACATAAATTGGCTTCAGTAATATGCTAATCCATTAATATCTTAAATGATTTTTTTTCCAATTTTGTTGAATGATTGATTGTATAAAAAGATACATAACTAGGAGAGGGAACTTAACCAAAAGAACAGAAGATTGTTTTACATAAAAGCAAATTAGACCGTAATGTGTTACTAATGTTTTTTTTTTTTAGAATAAAAGATTTTATTTAATTTAAAAGCAGGTTACATAGTTCCAGTAGCATTATCTGCTGCATTACAAAGAGCCTCGAGGACATTCACATTCCCCATTTCTGCTAAACTAAGACAAGTAGTAGAGTTTAGTTTCTTAGTCAAATACAGACAACCATACTTATCCATTGCTAAATTATTTAATACTAAGGGCAATGGATTAACAAAAACTTGTTTCTTCCTTCCATGCTTGAGCCCATTCTTTGCCATTTTATGAGCTACCTTGTTTCCATCCCTGAAGCTATGGATGATTTTCGGGTGCCTCAGCTGGTGCATTAACCACCTGCAGTCAGAAATAATTGATGTATAAGACAATTTGTTCAAAAAAAACTGCATGGATGAGGTTTGTTGCATCTGTTTCCACTATCAATGGTGAGAGTCCATGATGAACGGCTATCAAGAGCCCAAGTCGTAGTGCTTCCAGTTCAGATTGGAGTGGTGAGGTAGACGGTTTTGAATCCTGGAAACCTAGTATCCAATCTCCTCTATGGTTTCTGAAGACCCCTCCTAATCCACCCACGTTCAACGTTCTTTTGAAAGCGCCATCAATGTACGACTTAAAATAATTATGGGGTGGTTTGGCCCAAGCAATCTTTATAGCTATGGAATGAGTTGAAGCAACTTCCTTAGATGTTAGATGGAAGTATTCTAGGGCTAGGGAGATAGCATGGGAGTGACTGTAATTTAGAGAAAGATTGTTATGGTTGTTATTATTTCTATTTGACGAAATGGACCAAATAACGAAGGGGAACAAAAAATCCCAGGGAGGAATATTTGTTGAAGTAATAGTCTTTATGTTCCTGGTTAATTTGATCCAATCTCTGGAGTTCCTAATTTGTGAATAATTAATACCAAGTGAAGACCAGAAAGGTTTAACGGAGTCACATTTCAAGAAAATGTGCTCAATAGTTTCTTCTCCCTTTTTATAAGTGGGGCATATGGGATCAATATTAATACCAATATGACTAAGATATTGCCGGGTGGGGAGCCTATCGTGAATGCATTTCCATAAGAGGAATTTAATTTTGTTCGGACAGTTTGAACTCCAAACCCAATCAAATGAGTGAGTATTATTATGTCCATTATTAAAGAGACTGTAGCACGATTTAGTAGAGAAATTACCATTAGAATTCAATTTCCAGTAGTAGGTATCATGGTTTAAGTTTTTAGGCTCAAGTGAATAGATGGCATTTTTAGTATGGTAAGGTAATTCGAAAGGTATTTTTGAGAGATCCCACTTGTTATTAAGCCAAAGATCCTTAATACTAAGGTTTGTAGTAGTTAAAGGTATAGGTCCCTCAATGATATTTCTAAGGGTGTTCGCCTTAGGAATCTAGTTTGAATCCCAAATATTCATGGACGAATTTTTGTGAGGGATCCAATTCAACCCTTTGTTACACAACTCCCAACCTTTGATAATACTCTTCCAGATGAATGAGGTATGTTTTATGTTTTTTGAAGAGCCATAGAGGGATGCTAAGGTCTGAGACCAAGGAAGAAGAGGATTTTGAAGGATTCTCCATGTAAGGCTTGCTAGTGCCACTAGATTTTTTTCTTTTGCCGCATGGATTCCAATACCCCTATTAGTTTTGTCCTTGGTTACAGTATCCCAAGATATAAGATGAATCTTTTTACAAGTGGTCGATGAGCCCCAAATAAATCTTCTTTGGATTTTGTCAATGCTATTGAGAATCTTAATAGGAAGGAAGTTATATTGCATAACATGGTTTGGAATACTATTAAGAGAAGCATTTGCTAAAGTAGTTCTTCCAGCCATATTAAGGAATTTGGATTTCCAAGAAGACAATTTAGAGTTCATTTTATCGATGATGAATTGGTAGTCGGAGGGTCTAGGTTTTGTGTTTGTTATAGGAAAGCCTAGGTATTTGCCAAACGATGTACTACAATTTATATTAAAAACTTTGGAAAGATCTTTTTTGGTGTTTATAGGGCAATTTTTTGAAGTGATGATTTTTGACTTATCCTTATTGATTTTTGACCAGAAAGATTACAAAAATCCTCAAGACACTTGAGGATTGTTCTAGGGGATTTATTATCAATCTGGCACATTAAAGTAAGATCATCGGCATAAAAAAGGTGTGATAGTTTGTAACTCTTTTTTCCTAGACTAATTGGTGACCAATTACCAATGTCAACCTGATGGTTTATGTTAATAGAGAGCATCTCAAGGCATAAAATAAAGATATAGGGGGAGATGGGATCCCCTTGTCTAATTCCCCTGCTTGGACAGAAGAAATTGCTTCTACTCCCGTTGGCTAAGACTGCTATACTGCTTGAAGTGATACATTCCATGATTAGGGAGATAAATTTTGGGGAAAATTTAAAGTAATTGAGAGTTCTGAATATGTAAGACCATTCAAGCCGGTCAAAAGCTTTTTCCAGGTCGATTTTCAGTACCAGGGAAGGTTTCCCATATTTTTGTCTATGCATCTTGGAGATTAACTCTTGTATAATAATAGCGTTATCACTAGTACGTCTGCCTTTTAAAAAACTAGATTGGTGCGGACTAATAATATTTTGTAAAAAAGGCTTAAGTCAATTGGCAAGAGTTTTAGTGATAATTTTATAAATAGTGTTACATAAGCCAATTGGCCTATAGTTTTTTAGAGAAATGGCATTAGGAATTTTTGGGATAAGGCACAGATAAGTATCATTTATCCCATTAAGAAGCTTGCCAGTTTCAAAAGTAGTTTGACAGAGATATGTGACTGAATTTTCCACCAAATCCCAGTGTTGTTGAAAGAAATAAGGATGGAGACCGTCTGGACCGGGTGATTTAAAAGGTTTAAAACTAAAAACTACATTTTTAGCTCATTTTTGGAAAAGGGATTGTCTAACATTTGGAGGTTAATATCTAAGTAACTGGTAGACTTTTCCTTAATCAGAGACCAATTGGAAGATTTGTGATTGGTGGTGAAGGAATTACTAAAAAAATTATAAACATAGTTCAAAATGCCACGAGGGTCATCAATCCAGCTACCATCAGAATTTTGAAGTGCATAATTTTATTCGTTCTCTTGTTATTAGTGGCACAAATATGGAAGAACTTGGAATTTGAGTCACCTTCGTTTAGCCAGTTAACCCTGGAGCGAATTTTCCAGTAATCTTCATCTATTTTTAGGAGATTATTATACTCAGTTTTCAGATTTAGTTCAAGATTATGGAGAAAATTGCTATGACCATACGAAGGTGACTTTTGAATACCATTTAGTCTGGCTAATAGGATTTTTTTTTTTACTAAATCTCCAAAGGTATTATTCTTCCATTCAATAATACTAATTTTAAACAAGTTTAATGCTTGAACGAAATCTCTATTGCTCCAGCAAGAGCTCACTATATTTTTAAATTGAGGATGTCTACACCAATAAGACTCCATTCTAAACGGTTTGGGGAGAGGGTTTGCTGGCTTAGGAACAATGTTTATCAAAATGGGGATATGGTCAGAGTGAGTCCTTGGAAGGTGAATTACACTAGTATTAGGAAAAATTTGCAACCAATCATCATTTGCTAATACTCTATCCAATCTTTCCTTAATTCTAGTACTAGGGCACTTATTATTGTTAGACCACGTAAATTTTCCACCTTTGAATCCTAAATCCATAAGGTTGCGATAATTAATTTTGTTCCACAACTTAAGAGCCCTTCTTCTATTTATAGGATTACCACCTAGTTTATCTTCGACTTCCAGGACATCATTTAGATCCCCACCTAAGAGCCATGCACCCTTATAGTTATCAAAAATACTAGTAATGTTATCCCACATGGTATTTCTTTTAGACATGCTAGTGCTAGCATAAATAGTAGTAAAGAGCCAAGTTTTGTGAGTAGGAATTACCTAAATGAGTGCATGAATTTCATTGTTACGCCTGACAAAGTTGCTTACATTAACCACATTTGTATCCCACATAAAGGCCATGCCTCCTGATTGACCCTCAGCCGGAACCTCTATCATGTCATTGAACCCAAACTCATTCATTAGGCTACCATGGTTAGTCATTCTAGTTTCCAATAGGGACACCATGCATGGGTGATGGGTGGATATTAAGTCATGAAAGTTTCGTTTAAATTCACCATTGTTACCACCTCTTATATTCCAGATAACTATATTTTTAGCAAGATTCATTTGATGGTGATTTGGGAGGACAGGACCATTGACTTGTACTGGTTGTGGGAATATGGGGTTCCTTCTTAGTGAGGGAACAAGGATCATAGCTAGTTTCCCCACAGTTGGGTCCTGGGGAGGCCTCATGTCCACTGTGCATTTGAACAGTGAGAGTGGACATGTAAGAATAAGCCTCTTCTCCCTCATCTCCTCGAATAGATAAACTTTTACTTCGTCTAGGTTTGAAACCTCGACTGTATGCTCCCCTACAAGATCTATCTCCCCCTCCATTTCTTCCTCCCATGGATTTCCTAGGTTTTGAGCTACTGGAGGTTCTTGAAAGTGTGGAATTATTG